AATATATATATATTATAAACCTTTTTTTTTTACCACCTGCCTAATTTCATTAAATAAAACATGCCCAGATACCAGGTAGGTATCTATTAAATAAAACATCCCTAGATGCTAGTTGGGTTGAAATTTTCCTGTAGTTTGGAAAACTTTAGAGGGTGCAACTAAAGGTTTTCTAGCCTATTAACTTAAAGTATCTAAATCACCCCTTTAGCTTCCTTTGTACAACCTTTGTATATACATATTGCCCTTGGTAAGACCTTTCTTTTGATATAATGTTGTATGTATTTTTTTAAAAAATTGACAAAGTTATGACATTTTAAGTTAAGAAAACTTAAAATTTGATCAAAGTTTCTTTAAGAAATAAATATATTAAAAATGTGATACTTAAAATGCTGTAACTTTTTGTAGAATTGTTAAATTTTTATAATTTTTCTACCTTTAAAATATTTAATTAAAATCTTTTTCAATGATGTAAAACAATATAGTATTTAATCAATTTAAAAAATTCATGTCACATACCTAATGCATATGAATATATTATATATATATATATATATATATATATATATATATATATAATAATTATATATATATATATATATATATATATATATATATATATATATATATATATATATATATATATATATAGGGCCGGTGCGAGTAGGTGTCACATGAGAGGGGGGGGGGTTCCATTGCAACTTTTGCCTACTATTATTATTATTGCAAAACTACAGACTTAGCCTTCAGTTAATCAGTTAAATCAGTAAGTAAACTGTGCAAGCAGCAATGTAGCTGTGTATAGATTAAACAGAACTTTTAATTAAATAATTTTTCTTTATTTTAACTATGGACCTTGTATTGTACTTGTTGTCTAAATCAAATAAATAATATATATATATATATATATATATATATATATATATATATATATATATATATATATGTATATATATATATATATATATTATATATATATATATATATATATTATATATATATATATATATATATATATATATATTAGGGTGTTAGCTAGCCCAATGACACTGCGTATACTATGGAATTCCCAATGGATTTAAAATTACCAAAATTCAATGACTTTTTTTGTTGTTGAAGTTTTGGGATAATTTAACCTAATATCTTGTAGAACCATTTTTAGGACAATTTTAATCCTAATCCTCTTGTAGAACACGAAAAATAAATTATCCAAATATCATGAAAACATGGTAAAAATATATTCCTGGAGTTATGATAAACTATGACTAATGTCAAAATATATAAAAATTACTCGCCTAAAGAAACGTCTTCACTGTTATACAACTGAAGCATATCATGAATGGCAGCTAAATACTCAATTAAATCATAACTTATCAAGTATCCACCACCAAGGGCGTATGGTAAATAGTGATCTGATAGAATCCAATTATTTTCAGCCCATTCTCCCGTTGTTTTTACATTTGAATCTCCTCTAAAATAACCCCAATAAACTCGACTTAAAGTGCTTTTCTTTTTCAAGTCTTCTATAAGAATATCTAAACGCACAAAAGAATCATCATCAACTTTCATTACATAAACGCTTTTTATATTGTTAGACACCCAAATTATAGTTTGTAATAATTTTGTAGTAAGAGAATGATAAGAGTCTACAAGATCATTAAGAAATAACATATCTTGATTAATATTTTGTTCACTATATAATTCTGCAATTAACACAGGGCTCAAGTTTTTAGTTCCAACAACAAATTTTCGACACACTTGTTTTTCACTATATATATCAGATTGTAGCCAGGTTTCTCTAATGGTTTTTCTGCGTAAAAATCCACTTGGAGATGATATTACAAAAACAAGTAAAAAACAGTTTGTCGCGCCATTATTTATGTTTCTTTTGGCAATCATGTTATAGCTTTTCAGTTTATTAACATTTTGAGTGCAATTACTTTGCATTATGCATCGTAAATAAATTCCTAATAGAAATATATTTAATATTATTAACCCAAAAGGAGACCACTTTTGAACAAGAATAAATTTTAATTTTCTGCTAGTGATCATTTTGTCCCATTTAAATATTTTCTTAATTTTCAAAATATAATTGAAACGTTACAGTTATTTGTATTTATGACTTTTAATGCGCATAATTAACTTCTTTTTTTTTTCTTGGTATAAAATGTGATAACAATATTTAAATACTTTTGAATTAAAATTTTTAAAAAATATAAGGTTTTTTTTAGTTATTAAGACATAATTTATGGAATGAGTTTTAAAATTTAAATTTTTAATATGAGTAAATGTTTTTAAATTTAATTAGTAAATACTTTTTTTAATTTATGCACTTTAAGCTAAATGAGAAAGCAAAACTCACCATTTTCTTGCCCAATGAAATTCTTTGTTTTGAACTTTTGCAGATCGGTTTTAACTAATTATGCGAATAAATTATTGTAATTATACATGGGGGCTACAGTTTTCGACTGTTAATGGATAGTTTTTTTAGTTTATTATAAAAGAGAATAAATTTTGAAAATTTATTTACAGATTTTATTTTTTTTATTCTTTAACAAATTATTTTTAAATTGGATAATGTTTTTGAAGGAAACACTTTGAGTTAGTAGTTTTCACTGTTTGATGGAAATGTTGATAATCGTATGTACCCCCTTTGCCGACAGAAGACATGCGCGGCTGGTGTGTGTTCAAATGTTTCTTTGAATGAGGATGAAATATGTAAATTTGAACATTTCGTTAACCTTTTAATTTGTAAATACTATCAATTTTACCATTACTTTATCCATTCTGTGTAAGTTTATTTATCAAGAAAAATTTTTAGACTTTTTTTAAACTGGATTACAACTAAAGAACGCTGATGGGTTGTTATGAAACGAATGCATGAGGAAAGGAAAGATATCTTCAGTGGCATTCGAAAAGTAGTTCTTACTAGTCCAGCAAGTATTCGTAACATTACAGTAGCTCAAACGATGGAGAAAGATAAACTTGAGAAATCCAATTATGTACAACACTCTTTTGGTAAAAATTTCTTTTCCAAATGTTAACTTCTATTTACATTTTTTATCTTTTCATGGCTTTTCAACCGTTTAACAAATAAAAGCTAGATCTTTTACATTATAAAGTATGAAACTTGTTGCCTTAATGTTTGTTTATAATTGTTTATCAAATTAATATTAATTTTTTTTTTTTAAGATACAGGATATAGAGCAGTGGATTTACTAAAGGTATTTGTAGTATTTGTGCTCAATGAAAAATTTAATGCATTTTAAATGTGTTTTATTAAATTGTATATAATATAAGCAAATTAGAAATAGTAGCATCTAATAGAAAATATATACTTTTAATAATAATTTAGTTTAATACTATATTACATTGTTTATTAAATTTAAAGATTTAAAAAAAATTCTAAATCTTAACTTTATGTTATTATAGACTGCAAATAAACCAAGAAACATTGTGCCTGCTACTCATGGATCTTCTCAAGTTCATGTAGTTCCACCACTAATCACTAACTACATAAATAACTCTACTCATATTATAAGTCCAACTCCAATAAGCCATAATACTTTGGTGAAGGGATCCATAAATCCAAGGCCTTCATTTCATGCACATGTTCCTTTGGGTATTGGAACATCTGTAACTTCCCAAAGAGCAACTGGACCACAAAGATTACCTTCATTGAAGCCTACAAAAAACTCAACTCAAGTAATATTTTTTCTGCTTTAGTAGCATATAATTTATACTTATTCAGCTTTAGTGTAAAATACTAAGTATATTATTAGAAGACAAAAGACATTTAGTTTTTTATTTATAGCTTTTTAACATTTTGTCACCTGATAATATACATAAATACAACATACAAGTATACTTACAATTAAAATTTTTTTGGATAATCATGAAATTTTTTTTTCACTTATATGCATAAGAATCAGTTTATCAATAATTTTTTTTTTCCTAAAATTTTATTTTAAATTAAAAAATGCAGCTACTGTCATACAACTAAAAAAGCTTAACTTGTAAGCCAGAAGCTTCTTTCTTGGCTCCATCCCTTGAATAGAATAATTTTTATTTTAAGATTCAACTTCCTATTGGTAATCATGTTCCTGGACTACCAACTGTTTTAACTTCTGCAGTAGTTAGCAGAATAGCTTCTCCAAATATAGCTACTCATGGTCAATCTAGTGATCAGCGAAATGATGGAAGAGCTGCTTTAATCTCTGATCCCCATAATCATGGACTTAGAGGAAACACACAAGCTTTATCACAACATTCTGCGACAATACAAGTAATTGCATCTGGTACAGCGTCACTTCATACACCACAAATTCCAGCTTCTTTTTTGACTAAAGGTGTGAATTTAGGTACCTCTTCAGGAATGCTGAAAATAAATTCAACAAGTCAGTCTAACTCAATTTCTTCGAATGTTTCTGGTTCTGCTTTCAAGTTGGGAATAGGTATAAAATTTATATTGAATTTCTCAAACTAATTTCTACAAGGTGATTATTTTATTGTGATGTTGTTTATTTCACGCTATACATCTTTTTAAAATTATACATTAGGTAAGACATATTCAGGTTCATCAAGTATTATTATTCCAGCTACAACATCTCGTTCGGATCACCTAGTAAATAGTTTTTTTGTTTAATTTTTTTTTACTTCAAGTATATTTTTATTATTAACTATTTTGCACCTAAACTTTTTATTTAATTAAGGATATACGTCAAACTATAGTTCCTTCACCTTATACTCGCTTTCAAACAGCATTGCATCCAGCTACGACAATTATAGCAGCGAATTCGGCTACAAGTAGTGAATCAAGGTATTCACGCAAGTGTTTAACAGCTATCTTATGTTACTAGAAATAGCCACGTTAAGTTTTTGATTTATTAATATTTTTTTCTAGATCACTTCATCAAGTTGGTTATCATCAAATAAATACTGCATATGTTCTGCATGATATGGGTATGTTTTTAGCACATATATTTTTAATAATATGTCAGTTTATGTTTGAAAATAGAATAGGACAAGAGTTTTATGCAAAAGAAATTGGTGGGTTGCACATATTAAGATTATAATATTAGGTTTTTTATTATTTAAATTTCTTCACAATCAATAAAAAAGTTGAAACTAGATCGAGTTGTTAAAATTTATATGAAAAAAATGCAATTAAGCTTGACAGAGATGTTTCTGAACATGTTTTATAAAGTCTGTGTTTCTGTTAGAATGTATTATTGAGGGTTAAGGTAGTTTGGGCATGATTCATGGTGGTCTCAGCATGAGTATGCAGAGGTAAAAGTGAAAGTTAAAAAAAAATTAAACAAACAATTAGAAAATTTATGAAAATGCAGAAAGCACTAATATAAAAAAATAAATTGAGATAAAAGGCTTTTTTCCATATATATGTAACCTAAAGATACAGTTATAGCAATTTATATACAAAAATTAGAAGGGATTAGCACATTTTATCATTCAAAAAAAGCTTTATATAAACAATTTTATTTTAATTATTTTAATATTTTGTAGAGTTTTAATTTGATCAACAATTTTAAATACTTTTTTCTAAGCAAGTGAATATATAGTAATTCTGAGATAAAAAAGATATCGATTATCTTGTTTCATAAGACATGGTTTCTTAGTTATGATAAATCTGCAACAAATTTGTAGTATATAAAGAATAATTAAACTTTTAGAACAATATAATACTATTGTTATTATTTTTTTGCTAAATAAAAAGTGAACAAAAACAGTGAAAAAGTAAAAAGAAATTTTTAAATAGTTTTATTGTTGAGATAATTTTATCCATATCCAAGTTAACAGTCAATTTAGCTGTTAATATTAATAAAAGTTTAACAATTTGTCAAATATCTATTGTTAATTGATTAATATTGATTTTTTTGAAGTTAATTTTCAAAATTGTTTCGATAATCAAAAATAAATATAGTGTTAAATAGACCGGATAAAACTAAAACAATGTTCTTATTGTTTAAATATATTAAAAGGGAACCTCATATATATGTAGAAGAACGCTGTAAAAATATTATTTTAATTAGATTTCTTACTGCACTTATGCAAATATAAGTACATCAGGTTTATTTATAAAATTCTAAAAAATGTAACAACCATTTAAAAAATGTTTTAATAAAGTTAGTTTTTTAAGAAATGCTTAAGAAAAGTTTAATTACATTTTTAATTTTGTCTGTATTTAGTAAGTGACCGGGTCCCCGGCCCCGGCTAAAAACAGAGGTTTTTGCAAACCCGGCCCCAGCTAAACAAACACAATTTGCAGGGGTTACTAGCCGGGGCTGGTAAATTGTTAAATGTAAATGCAATTTTACAATAAATTTATCTTAAGAAATTTATTTTAGGATATTTTAAACACCCTGATTGTTAGCAATTTTTAAATATTTCTTCAAATTATTAAGTTTGTTTAAAAATTTCAAATAATCAATTACATGATGGCCACTGACTTTTCTAGAATATCCAGGTTGCTGGCTTGTTTGTTCTTTCATCTGGAAAGAACAAAGTAGATCAGATGGATATATGGTGTCTTTAAAAGATAGGAAAAAAAGCAATGATCTTAGAGATATGAGAGTATGAGAGTAGTAATTATATTTATAGTGTGTATCAGAGAAGATGATAATGATGCCAATGATTAAGATGATGACGATGATGATGATGATCATTGTCATCATCATCATCAGAATCATCTTAATCATCATCATCAACTGTATGCTTGATGATGATGATGATGTAAATGATGATGATGATGATGATGATGATGATGATGATGATGATGATGATGATGACGACGACGATGATATATATACCTTTATAAAAAATATATCATGAATTTTAAATAACAATAATATATTTATAAGGAATATCAATATTAATGCAGCCCCGGTCACAAACCCGGCCCCAGCTATGTTTTATCAAACCTGACCCCGGTCAAATATCAACTGCGGTTGCTTATTATCTGTATTCCCAAGTGGCTTCATAAACTGAAATGCAGCGCAAATATTTAATAATAACTCCCATAGACCATAGTTAAAGAAGAAAAAATTCAAACTCCAGTTAAAATTAAATTAGAAGAAAAAAAAACTTTTACAGTAAATGCACGCATCCTTTTTTGAAATCAGATTTTTTTTTAAATCAAAAAAGCTAAGCATAATTGTAAGCCTTTAAACAAGACAGCAAAAAAACAAAACAGCTAAATTGTTTTTTTCTAAATTTATAGTTTATAGTTCAAAAAAATCTTGGTTTTGTTGAATTTAGTTAACTCGAAACTTTTTTCTAATGTTTATTTATAAAATAAGCACACCTTGTCTAGGCTCCCAGGGGTAATCTCTTTAACAAACTTTGAATCAAAGTTAAAATATTTGGGTGATAATTATCAGACCTTTTTTACACTCATTATTAATTAATCAATTTTACATTCAAGACAGTTCAAAAATGGCATTAAGTCAAACTATTTTGTGGTCTATTGCACAAATCTTGAGGACATTTATGAAGAAATTTTTTAAGCTGCTCAATTTTAACAACTCACAAGCTATTTATTTTTGCAAGCTAAATATTTTTAGAAACAAAAACCATATTATATAGAGTTGTTTTGTTGGAAACAATTAAAAAATCATGTTGCAGCAAAATACTTTTCTCTTTTTAATTATTGTCCCTAATTAGATTTATTATTAAATCTTGACAAAAGAGAATGTTTCTCAGTTTTTAGATTTTGCGTAACCTTAAAAAAATCACTAAACCTCTCTTCATTGGTGTATCTAGTGTTAATACTTAAAATTTGGTCTTGTAAAGATATTTTTAAATATATAAGGGTATATTTTATTGGTTCTGTGCATAAAAATGTAAATTTTTGTTTTGCTACCATTTTGTCTATTTTACCAAATAAGCAAAATTAAAAATTTATTTTTTTAATTTATTGGGCATAATAGTCTGATTTTAATTAAATTTTAATTTAGTTTGCACTTTTTTTAACAATGGGGAAAAGTATATTTATATAGGTGGCTTGGTACTTGGTACAGAATCTTATAGTTTTGGCAATTAAGACATGCCACTTACAATTAAATTAAAAAAGTAAACGATTGTATCCTTATTTTTATTTTTCTCAGATAAAATCTTAGTAAAATGAGAATTCCTTAAAAATTTTAGCCTCTATCTCCAAGAAGATCCTGAAATATGATCATTTTACTTTTAACAGATATTGGCCAGACTCCTCTGCCCCCCTCAGAATTGCAATATTTTAAGTCACATAACTTTAAAAATATTTGATCTTTTTTCTTAAAAACTTGTACCTTGGAATGACAAAACCAATAAAAAGATCAGAAATATAAAAAATTATTAAGTGTCTGTATTTATGCTTCAGGAATGACAAAACCAATAAAAAGATCAGAAATATAAAACATTATTATTAAGTGTCTGTATTTATCAATTTAAATAAATTTAAGCAATTTTTTGTGTACTTGTTTTTTAATGCTCAAGAAGCCTATGTGGCCTTAATTATATCAAAACAAAAAAATTTTACACATTCTATAATCATTTATCTTTCAGAAAACAAAAGGATTTTGATCTGCAAGTATATGGATTTCTATATATAAATAATGGGACAGTCACTTTTGTAGCAGAATATTGCAAATGATTTTTCACATCTTTCAGACTAGTTGGAGCTCTGAAATTTTTGGGATTTCTGAAGTGCTGATAAACGTTCGCATGTTAAAATTGTTTTCCGGTCCCAAGACTGGAGGCTGGGTCATGTGTCTCACTTTTTTTAAGCAGAATCATGCAATAGATTTTTCACTACCTATCAGTTACATGAGTTATCATGATAGCTGAAAGGTAATGAAATCTACCTATCAATTATCAGAGTTATCATGAGACCAGGACACCAGGGAGATGACCCCTGGTGCCCTGGTCTTATGATCAAATTTTTCTCGATATTATCAAGGTTACATGGGTTTCTTGAGCATCAAAATCAGGTATATAAAAATTTACCTAAATTTTTTTAAATTGATAAACACAGGTACTTAATAATTTTTTACATTTTTGACCTTTTTATTGTATTTATCTTCCCTGAAAATAACAAGGTACAAGTTTTTAAGTAAAAAGATCAAACATTTTTAAAGTTATATGACTAGACCCCTCTAAATAAAGTTGCAATTCTGAGGAGACAAGAGGGACCTGCATATATATTTCAGGATCTTTTTGGAGCTAGAGGCTTAAATTTTCAAGGAATTCTTATTTTATTTTCTAAATGGTTTCAACTGTATAAAAATCAACAAAATCTGAGATATAGATTGACATTTTCAAATATTTCTGGGTCATTTGACCCAGGGAATTACTCTATGCTCTAACATCTTTTTCTTTTCTTTATTCTCGGTGTAGTTAAGGCACTTTTAAAATATTATAGCATCTGTATGATATTTTGTTGACTATGACATATTTCCGTTAAATGGTCTAGTCTGTGAATTATGAAAAGACGAAAAGTATTAAAATGATAAGTTTTGCGGAATCATAAAATATAAATGTTTGTAGCAAAAAAAACCAGACCGAAGATTCTTTTTTTAAAAAAAAATTATCTTAAAATCACAACAGCTTGTTCAAATTTGAATAAGATTTTATATTAGTACATTTTTTAGGTAAAATGAACATTATAGTTTAAGAATATGATCTGTTCTGATCGTTTATTGGCAATTTTCCATAATTATAAGCTCTTTCTTGGTCGGAATTCCAGTATTTTTTGTGAAAATTGATAGAAATATTGTGTTTTGACAACTATATATAGTTAATATACGTCAAAACCGATTAGAACTATGATCAGTAGTAAATTAAGAAACTTTTTCAAAAGATTTTAACTAAATTCATGTTAATGCCGAGGAATTGATTTAAAGACTCCAAATTAGTGTTCTTTAGATACACTATTATGGGTAGTAAAAAAGTTTTGAATATTATATAAAAAAAAGTTTCTTTAAATATTTTAAAAACTTTAAGTAAAAAAAATTATAACATTTAAAGATCTTGTTTGGACATAATATGCTGACAAAACCATGCTAATTCCAAATAAAAGTATTCGAATATTTTGTAAATCCCCTTAACTACACCAAGTTTGACTTCGAAGTTAAAATCTTTTCGTGACTTTAAAATTATATGATCTTCACTTTGACAAAAAAAAATTTTTTTTTTTTGAAAGTGAAGAATTATTTTTATAAGAGAGTTAATCATATTTTGTAATGAACCTTTTTAATAGGGATTCAAAGCTTTTCACATCAACTTGTACGTCCACCTTCCAGCTCTGTGCCAATGTTCGCAATTGATAGGACTTTACCAACAATTCCGCTTGTAACTATGCCAGCAAAAGGTAATATGAAGAAAATATATAGTTTTATAGTTAATTTTTTTTTTTTTTTTGGGGGAGGGGATTTTTTTTTTTAGTTAATTGTTTTAGTATTAAATAATTTTTGTTGCTGTTAAATTTTTTTTTGTATAGATATCACATCTTATGTGAAGCTTGTTTGTTTTGAGTTTTTTAGTAAATGATGAAGTAAATTTTTATCCAAAAAATTTTTTTTTAGATAATTCTATTGTATCTTCTCATGCTAATGAACCTGTGCGTAGTGAGGGTCTGACAATCCATGGGAGTTTGAATATTCATACTTTATACCCCAGCAATTTCCAGCCGATTTTTACTACAACATCAATTTTAAATACAAACGAAACAACAGTTCGACCAAGTATTTTAAGAAAGCGTCCTGGAGAAAGCAGCGTGCTGTAATATACTTTTTTAAAATTTGCTTGCAAAACGTAGCATTAAACACTTTTTAAATTAATTATCATGCTTTTTTTTGTGTAAAAAACAAATTTTCATTTCAGGTATACAGCAGATCGCAATTCTAGTCCTGTAAAAAAAGATCTATTTCAAAGTTCATTACCTCCTGCTAAAATTAAAAGTCCACCTCTGCTAATAAGGTATTTAATAATATTTCTATAAGATGGTGATAGGCCACCAGTATATTATATATTTACTGGCAAATATATAGTGTATTATAAAAATATTAACTTTTAATGTATAATTTTAATTTTAATTTAATTTTAATTTAGTCAAGATAAATCAGCAACTAACATATCGACTAGTCATTCAGTTGTTAATATAACTTCAGAAATCAAATCAACTTCTGTAACATTAGGAATTTTCACAACCACAACTACTGGCATTATCACTGCCATAACTGGTACAGCTAGTTCTAAATCACAGCTTTTAACAAATTCTGTAAATCACTTAATTGAAGCTTCTCCAAAAAAAAAACCAAGAAAACAGCTAATGTATGAACACAATTTTTTTACTTTCTAATATTTTTCTTTGTGATTTATTTGATGTAATATATTTGATTGTCGTTTAGAATCACTACAGAAGATAAGTATACACCTAAGCGTCTTATTAACTCTAATATGACAGACGATGAGGAAGAATTTTTAAAATCAAATGAAACAATGAAGGATATAAGTCCTCCAAAAGCCACTGTTGAATCAGTGTATCCTGTTAATAACATGAGCCATAAGAACCTTTTTACACTTGCAAATTCATCTTCTACTGAAAAGAAATTAAAAAGTGATTTAGTTGAGACGAGTCATTTTGATAACCATCGTCACGCAGTTAATGGAATTGTTTCAACTTTGCCTTCAACCATATCAAGTATCTATACTATGATTTTTTATATCATGTTTTAACATTTTATTGTATGTTTATATGATATACTTGTACTTTATGTACAAATGTATGTATTTGTATGTGTGCATCTATGTATGCATGTATGTATGTAAGTATGTATGTATTTATTTAATTAGCTTAAATTTTAAGTAATTTTTAAACACAAACTGTTAGGGTTCCAAATATTCTATCGACATATGTCCAAAAAAAAAAAGTTATGTAAATTTAATTTATTCAAGATTTAAGAAATTAGTGTGACTGAGCGGATACTGCAATATGCTGAATGTTGTGAGTTTGAATTGTAGCTCAGTTAAAATTTATTTTTATTATATTTATTTTAGTAGTGCATACAAGTGCAGCATTTTTAAATGATGAAACTTTTACTCAAGGCTAGGAGGGTCAGGATGTGTGTACCGGATACTATCCTTTTTTATGAACATACCCTTTTATGTTAGCAATCTAGGAACTTAAGTCTGAAAAAAAACTATTTTTATTAACTAGCTGGCAAATTATGGACAAAAATGATATTCTATTTCTTCTTTTTTCTAAGTGCAAGTCTTTTTCCCTCTCCATCCACTCCCTTGTCTTGGTTTTATTTTTTTAAATCTTGTCATGGTTTTATTTTTTTTTCAAAGTTGTTATATATTCAAAAAAATTTAGTTTTTTAATAAAAAGTGTTGTTTTTATTAAAATGGTTGCAATAAAGCAAGAGTAGTAATCAAGCAAATCCCATTCTTTTTTTCTTTCTCCTCCCTTATCTTCAATTTTCTTGCAACTACATTTTTGCTGCTCATTACACTAACTTTATTGATTGAATATATTTTGACGGTTAAGTCTGATTAATATATTACCAATGTGTTTTTGAGTAAAGACACAAATTACAAAAGTACCTAGGGCTTAAAAAAATTAGAGATATAAAAAATAACAATTGGTCTCATTTAAAAGTCTTTTTAAATAATTATTTAAAAAATTATTTAAAGTTGACATCATGAAAAACTGCTCTTACAAACATGATATAATTAGTATATTTTAGTATTAGTTTTTAATTCAGTTGTTATTTTTAAAAATAGAAGGTTTTTGATACACCCATTAGAAGATAATATTTGCTAACACATCATTTTTACTGAAGCCTCTTTTTAATTACAATATTTTAAGTGATTAAGTGATAAGATTTATATTTAACATATAATTAATTCTAGTAGTATATTATTTATTTGATTATTACAAATGTTTATACAGAATTTCAATATGAACTGCTGTTGTTCTAGAGGATATTGTTAAAGTTTCTTGTATAATTATGATAAGTTAGTAGCTGCTATAATTAATTTATGTGAATATTTAATTACTTTAGATGATCACCATCACCCTATATATCGTCACAAAACACTTAGTATAATCGGTGACTACAAAATTAATACAAAAGCTGCTTATAATCATTTCTATCGTGCTTCTGATATGAAAGTGAAAGGTAGTGCTTATACTTTTTAATATATCTTTATTAACGCTTATAATAGATTTAGAAATGTTGTTAACAGTTTTGATATGAAAACATTCTCTAGCGTAACTTACAACTTAATGTCTACAACAAAATTTATGTTACAATCGTTACAAAAATAAAAAATAAGACAACAAAATGATAAAACTTAGACCTGATGAAAACTTACAGACTTATAGCTTAAAATATCCAGGTTGCTTAATTTATTACTTTTTTTTAGAGGAAAAGCCTTCTCAAGAAAGACTGGTAACAAAAAGTGCAATTGAAGCAGCCTCTGGTTGGAAGTTACACTATTTAACTACACAGATTGATGACTTGGTAAAATAAGTTATTTTTTAACTGTATTAATATTTACACAATATTAGTAATAACTGTAGTAAAACTGATCACTTCTGCTCATTGCTGGTGAATTTTAATTCATTTAATTCATTTCAGTCATTATCACAATAATCTAGATCTTTCTAAGAACGGTATCTATATATGAACGGTAATGTACGCGATGAGTCATCTACCCTTCATCTTCTAGGATTAACTCTTAGCTCTGATCTTTCTTGAAAACTATATATTAAATCGATTGCAAAATTAGCCTCTACTAAGGTTACATCTTTTTATCGTACTCGCTACTTTCTTACACCGTATTCTATTCTTTATCTCTATAAATCTTAAATCCGCCCTTGTATGGAATACTGTTTCCGTATCTGGGGCGGATCTTCCAATGATGCCCTTTCTCTTTTTGACAAGGTGCAAAAACGCATTGTAAACATAGTTGGACCTGCTCTTGCAGCCAACATCCAACCACATTGTCCAAATCACATTGTCGTAATGTTGCTTTTTTTTCTCTTTTCTATAAATACTATAATGGGCACTGTTCTAAAGAGCTAGCGTCTCTTGTGCCATCTACTAAATTTCATTCTTGTGTTACTTGTCATTCAAGTCTCATCCTTTTACTGAGACTGTTCCTAAATGCTCCAAAAACTCTTATTCCTCTAGTTTTCTTCCTCGAATATCAGTTCTTTGGAATTTGCTTCCTTCATCTTGCTTTCCTGATTCATATAATTTGCAATCTTTTAAGTCGTCTGACAATCGTTATCTTGCTCTAAAAACCTCTTCTTTTCTCTTCCAGTTACTTCCAACTCTAATAAGGGTTGCTTGCAGCCTTGTTGGAAGTGAAGATGTTGAAAAGAAAAATTTTTGATTTCGCTTGACATTCTCAAAATACTGCGTTGTCTAAAACACTACAACACATACAAACGTCACATTAAAATATATAAAATATTCAGATAAACCAAAATTTTTAGAATGATTACTTGTCTGATAGAAATTCTTATTAATCTGAAATAAGAGTGATTGAAGATAAACTTGTTTTCTTTATCTTGATTTTAAAAAAATTTTGCGTTTGATTTCAGATCTCTATTGAAGATGAAATCAGTGCTGAATTCGCTTATTGGAAAGATAAAATACGAACTCCCTGTAGTTCACCGACAAGTATTCACTCAACATCACTTTCGGGCGAAGATGCTCAGCTTCGTCTTATTCACGAACTTATTCAAGGAAATATACAGCGGTGTAAATGCAGCATGGAGCAGTTAGTTGAAACGAAACAAAATCTTTTCAAGGTAATATTAATAAATCTTAGTAAAAATAACCATAGTAATAAAATAGAATTTTGAGAAAATAGTAATTTTAAATATCAATATTCTTGAAATCTTTTTAGGCACTCGTTCATAAGAATAAAGCAATTGATATACTAAATAAGTACAAGCCGAAAGCTCGGTTGAAGAAAAAAGCTTCTTAGCAACCTACCTACCAACTCTGTTGTAAATATTTTCATAAACCAATTCATAGTAAACGGATATATCCAAGCTGAGAGTATCTCTTTTTGCGGGGGAAGGGGGTTGCTTTTGTACGGTTTTAAAATGGAGTAGATGTGTGCCTGTATATTATAACTTACCTTTGATTTAAATTTTAAATTACATAAATTTTAAAAATAGAAGTTACATAACATTAAATAAATTTTTGCCGCTTAAGCTGGTTTTCAATGTCTCTACAATTCTTCGCAACTGTCATGCCTCGTTTTAAAAACTCATAAAAAACTGTTTGTTTTATTTTTAATTTTTGATATTATTATTTTTATTATTATTACTTTTTTTTTGGTCAAAAAATTTTAAAAGTTTAAAAGAAATTGAAATAAAGGTGCAATTTTATCAATTTTAATAGAAGATTATCTTGAAATTAAAAAATGCATCAAAACAGTATTAAAATTAGTCAAAAAGCTTTGTGCCTGATATTATAATGTTTCATTGATCAAAAGTAGCTCAATTAAATAAGATAGATTTAAAAACGATAAGATAGATTTAAAAAAAGAAAAAGATTTAAAAAAGTTTATTTTATTCAAAATACAAAAAGTTACTTTAAAGTTGTAGTTTGATCAAAAGTTTCTAAATTTTTGTTGTTTTTATTGTATATAACTTTTCTTAGCATTTTCATTCATGCTGAAAAATATAAATATATATATATATATATATATCTTTTATATATATTATTTTATATTTTTTTTATTTTTAATATTTTAGATTAATAATAAATTATTGGATATTTTATTTGATTATTATTATTGAACAAATTCTTACCTTAGTTGAAGCTTGGACATACTGTATCATAATTTTGAGATCCGGACTGGATCTACTTTGTTCGGATATTCGTTTCCCGGTTATTTTTACAAAAAATAAATTCTCTAACTTTTTGTAAAAATAACCGGAAACGATTATCTTGACAAAATAGATAATTTATCATATTTATATTTTATATAAATATTTATATTTTATATAAATATGATAAATGCGCGTGCGACTTTCAAAAGCTTTATTTTATTTCAAAGCAATTTTATAAATCAATTTTAATATGACTTTTAAAGAATTTAAAAAGCAGTTTCTGTTTGGGAACATTTCTTAAAGTCAACGAAACTGCTAAATACAAAACCTGTAACAATTTAACAATTAAAAGAGGCAAAGTGTGATGCAGAGGCATTTAAAAAGACCATAAAATAGAGTTACGATTGTTAGTTCTACAAAAACAGTTTAACGTTTATCTCAATAAGATATTAAAAGTTTTGTACAAGCCAAAGATACTATTGCGATTATACTAACTGATCTCATCGCAATAGATGTACTTCCAATTAGCATTGTTGTTAAAAGTAAGAGATGACGAGAATTTGCTTCAGCCAAAAGGCACAAAATACCTTCTAGTTTAATTTCTATTACAAATATTTTTTTTTTTTTTTTTTTACATTTTAAGTTTACATTTGTCGTAATACAATACTTTAACAAATACAAACAAGGTTTCTGAAAGAAGATCGTACTGATCTTATCATCAGAACCTTTTACAAGCATTGAGCATAATTATTTACAATGTATATAATCTATTTATAAAATAAACAGTAAAAGTAAAAAGTAAAACAAAAAGATAAAAAGTAAAACAAAAAGAGTCGTTACATATAAAAAGTAAAACAAAAAGAGTCGTTACATACAACGTTTTTTACAATTAACATAAAACGTATTTTACAATTAAAAAGTTCTAAATTAAGGTACATAATTACAATTAGAAGAACCTTATTACGTCATCGGAAAATAAAATTAAATTTTTGAGTTTATGTTTGAAAATTGGAAAAGTGTAAAATATTTCAAAATTTGGCAAAACAACTTTATTCCAAAGATATAGTGCACGATAAGCAATACCATACTGGTTAAACTTTGTTCGACAAAAAAGTTTATGCAAAAATTTATTATTTCTAAGAGTATATTTATTTATTGGTTTTTCACAAAAGAGAACTTGAAAGATAGGTAGGGATAAGTCATTTTTCCACAAATACATAAAGCATAAAACATTAAATACATTAAGTTCGTAAATATTAAGAATTTTCATTTCAATAAAAAAGGCTTGGAATGAGTGTATCGATCCGCAAAATTAATTAAACGGATCGCATGCTTCTGACGGCGGTAAAGAAATTGTAATTTGCTTTTTTCTGTGCTTGCCCAAGCAATATTTGCATAATTTAAATAGGTATGAATAAATGTGTAGTATAGTTGGGTTAAATCTTTTTTACATAGATTTGTTCTCGATTTATATAAAATTCCAATGCTTTTAGAAATTTTTGTGCTAATATAGTCAATATGCGCTTTCCATGTGATGTTTTCATCAAGAAAAACACCCAAAAACCTTGTGACATAGTGAGCATTTTTTTTGTCTGCCAGTAATTTTGTTCATTATTTGCCAATTGCGTTTTGTGTTATTTTTGAATTTATCTAGGAGTCTTGTGTAATAATTTTTTTTCAAGTTTTTACGAACTTTTTCAAAGAGATATTTGTAATTTTTATATATTTTCTCATTATCTAATGATTTTGTTTTAAGATATTTTATATACGGCTTCTGTTTAATCTTGGATGATTTTTTAAATCCTTTTGTTATCCAGGGGTTATTTTTATATTTTGGAGTTATTGTCTTTTCAATTATAGGAAAGTTTGCGTCATAAACGGAGTAAAAGGTTTCATAAAAGTTATCATAAATTTTGTCTGCATTGTCATTGAAGTTAATATGCAGTAACGATAGTTGGTTTTTAAACAACTTTATATTTGGATGGTTAAAAATGCGATTTTAATTTTGTTCATTTTATTTTTAATTTCAGAATTAATTGTCAAGAATATTGGAAAATGGTCAGTTATATCAGATTTTAGGATACCTGTTTGAATATCATTGTTGAATATATCTGTTGTAATAATATTATCAATCAAAGACGCCGAGTTTTTTGTTACTCTAGTTGGCCTGCTTATTAAAGGAATTGCTCCCTCCTCAAAAAAGGAGTCGTAAAAGTTTTTAATTTTGTTATCTTCATTATAAAGAAAACAATTCATATTTAGGTCTCCAGTAATGAAGTTCTTTTTGTTTTCTTTAATACCTTTTTTGAAAATACTTTGTTCAAAAAAAATGCTCAAGTTCTCGCTCACGCCGTCAGGTGGGCGATAACAACAGCTTAATAATATGTTTTTAGATTGATTGTTCATAATTTCAATAGTCAAAATTTCTTTATCGCTATCAGAAGCACTTAAATCATTCCTAACGTAATAAACAATATTATCATTCACATATATAACGACTCCTCCGCCGCGTTTATTTACTTGTCTTTTAAACGAAATTAATTTAAAACTAGCAGTAAGCAACCCGTAATACGGGTTATTAGTAATTAAATAATTGCTTACGGTTACCAACAAAAAAGGCTACATTAACATCCGTAAAGTTCTTTTTAAGATCTGTTACAACACAGCAGGTACCATAAAAAGAAAGTCAAGTAAAGCCTTATAATGCCTAAAAAAAGGAACGAAAAATAATTACAAAGTATTATTTGCATTTTATTGTTGATAGAATGAAGATATAACGACTTAAAAAAATTGCTGTAATAGCCCAGTTCTATCAACACAAAACACATTAACAATAGCGCATAGCATAAGATATTTGTAAGCACACATTACTGTCTCTCCAAAATGATTAAAAAAGAAAAGATTATATAAAGGCTAGACAACTTAACGTAGTAAATAACGTAATAACGTATAACACCACAACTTAAGATATTTTATCAACTAAAATACTTGAGCTAAAAAGATTTTATTGATTACAATTTTGAACAATTTTATCATAAAATACCAAGCAGCTCATAAAATTTTTTATATACATGGTCATTATCAATTGTGGCATTAATAAAACTTATATAATTACTTTTTTTTAAACTAAAAAGTAATTATATAAGTTTTATTGATGCTCCATGCACTAACTCTCTTTCAACTCTTATCTAAGAGTAAACAAAATTATTTTTACCTTTATTATGTAAAGCTCCAGCTTCTCTTTAACTGTCAACTAATGATTAATAGAGTAAATTTCATATCATTAAATTTACAAAATTAAAACCATGTTTCAACAGTAAGCAAACTAATCAAGTGATAACAAAGGCAACTAAAAAAAAAAGAACATAATTACGTTTGAATTTATAAAAAAATTTAAAATCATTTAAATTTAAAACTATTTGGTTTAAAGTGTTTTAAAGTGTTTAAAATAAAATCAAATAAACACACATTAACACCGCTTGACATTGAATTCTGGCAAGTAAGTTTTCTGCTCGCCAAGCAGCATTTCTTATATTTTAACAACTTTTTTTTTAATTTTATTTTAAGTGCTCCACGAAGTCCTCAAGGTCTTATCACAGAGCACCGTGGATAAGCATTTAATAGGAAGTTCACGCCTCCTTAAATTTTTATTTTTTCGATAAAAGTTGTCTATCAAAAATAAAAATAAAAATTTATTTACATCATTAAATTGTAATTTAACAAAGAATCTAGACAACAATACATAATCTAAAAGTGTAAAAAATGAAGTAATATCAGTCAATATATTTTACTCCAAAGTAATTAAAAAAACCTATTAAATCTAATGAAAATATTAAGTAAAAAAATATAGCAAACTTATTAAAATCAGTACCAGTTCTACTGCCTAAAAACTTTTATTATTAACCCTTCTAATAGTAATAGAAAAATAACAACAAAGTGATCTGAAGTTACTAAAAATCACTTCACCTATTTTTTTTGTTTAGGTTAATTGTCCAACTAAAAGTCTATAACTATAATACTGAGATAATGTAACGTGATTTTTAATCAATGTAGCACGTTCAGGGTTGTAAACCAATTGATTATGCCAACCAGCATCACCCCTTAGAAGAAATAAAGAACAAACCATAGGCTCTAATTTGGCAGACATACTTGATATATTTTAAGAGGATGACCTCTTGGGAAAATAACAACTTCACTGGAAGTAGGTGGAG